TCTCTCTCTCTCTCTCTCTCTCTCTCTCTCTCTCTCTCTATCTATCTATCTATCTATTTATCTATCTATCTATCTCTATCTATCTATCTATCTATCTCTCACGCACACACACACACACACACACACACACACATCCGTATAGATCCATCTTAAGATCTCATGGTCACCGCTGTTGTTTTCCTGCTCGTCTCAGAATCATTATAAACCATTTTCCATCCCCCTCCCCTAAGAAGGGGCCAAACTGCACGTGTGGAACCCCTTGCTTGGTGCGCAAACAGACCACAACATACAAACAGAAGACGGAGAGAGACACAGAGAGACGGAGACTACAAAGCAAATGCCAAAACTAGCGTTGAAAACGAAAATAAAAGCCAGCCTCTCTCTCTCTCTCTCTCTCTCTCTCTCTCTCTCTCTCTCTCTCTCTCTCTCTCTCTCTCTCTCTCTCTCTCTTTTTCTTTCTCTTTCTCTTTTCATTGCTATCCTCCTCCATTAGGTGCATTTCCACATTTACCCTATCTCTCTCGTGCTTCAGGCCCTTCGTCACTTACCCTGCTATCTCCTCCCTCACCTTGTCTGGATCCCTTTCCACGACCCGGATTCCTTCCCCTGTTGCCTTGGCGTTCTTCCTACTGCACTCCATCGGTTCCTCCATCCGCACTCTGATAGGCTGACATTCGGACTTTCTCCTCCTCTCGATCGCACATCATCCTTATCGACCACCTCCCAATCCGCGCTCCCCACCCCCTCCTTCACAAATTGCCTCCCCTCCTCTCCCTACATCCTCCTCCCATGTTCTTTCGAATCCTCCTCGACGTCTTCCCCCTCCACAGCCTCCTTCACGCCGGCAATCTTACCTTGCAAGCTTCACCCTATTCCCGAACCTCTCCCATTCTCCTTCCTCTGTCGCGGTATCTCCATCCTGACCTACCAAATCCCGGGCCTCTCCTCCTTCTGATGCCTCATCTCAACACTCCCCATTCGTCCTTCTCCTGCTACTCCAGCCCCTCAAGATTTCGATAGCCACCTTCTCCTCCCTTCCTGAGCAGTCCCCTGACCTCCTCCGAATCCTCCTTCTCCCCCTGCATCTCTCCGACTCTTCCTTCTCCCCCTGCATCTCTCCGACTCTTCCTTCTCCCCCTGCATCTCTCCGACTCTTCATTCTCCCCCTGCATCTCTCCGACTCTTCCTTCTCCCCTGCATCTCTCCGCATTCACGGCATCATCCCCGTCTTGTCGTTCCCACAGCGGCCGCGTGCGCAAGTCCTGTCCTTTGCACCATAGCGCCCCTACAAAAAATGGAGTTGCAGTCAAAACGAATGGACAGATGGAAGGCGGGAAGGAAGGATGTAGAGAGGGAGGGAGGGAGGGAGGGAGGGACGGAGGGAGGGAGGGAGGGAAAGAGGGAAAGAGGGAAAGAGGAATGTAGCGAGGGAAGGGGGAGGGAGAGAGAGAGAGAGAGGTGCACTCCGCCACGCCGTGCGAACCCACCTATTTCGTCTTTAGGCTGTGTGAACGGAACTTTCCACCTCTTCATGCACAACACCGTTGTGTGTGTGTGTGTGAGAGAGAGAGAGAGAGAGAGAGATGGAGAGGGAGGGAGAGAAAAAGAGAGAGGGTGGAGAGTGCGAGAGAGAGAGAGAGGGAAGGTGCACTTCGCCGAACGCTGCACGAACTCACCTGTTCCGTTTTCGGCCGACTGTGAGTGCACCTCTCCGCCTCCTCGCGCGCAACACGCGCTGACCAGAGTCTGGGCTGCGCCACGTGTCGTGGGCGCTGTCCAGCAAGAAATGCCGACGGCGCTCAGTTCCTTTCTGGGCAGCACCAACCCCAAGATGGTCAGGCACCTGCATCGAAAAGCAGTCGAAGCATTGCTCTCCGTGAGCAGAGGTGAAGTATTCCCGCCCAGCACCAACCCCACCGTAGGCAGGCCAAAGGCGCCTGGAACGGAACGCAGTCCAAGTATTGTTCTCCGTGAGCAGAGGTGTACTATTCGTGTGACGTAGCTCTTTCTTTTTGGGAATACCCTATGTACACAGTCCCCGCGCCAACTTGCATCTATACCGAGAAAACGGCCCGTGGAAATTATTGGCATGCCCAGGACCGAGGTGGACCCAGTTAGGACCGCAAAATTACTCTCATAACCAACTACAGGAATGCACAAATTATGGACATACATAGGCAAAAAAAAAAGAAGGATAATTGGCGAAATACCCCGATAAGTTGATATGTGTCGGAAAATGCCCCTAAAATACCCTCTGACACCGAACCTGCCTTGCAAAATGCCCCTGCCATGGGTAGCACCTGCCATCTTTGCAAAGTACCCCTACCAGGTACTGTCCAGCCTTGCAAAATGTCCCGGTTACTTGCCAACTTTTCCCAGGCCCTACGTATTTTCGTTTTCCCCTAGTGGCCCAGGTCTCTTTGCGTTTTGCCCCCTCACCGACACAAAGAAGAGAGAGGGAGAGAGAGAGAGAGAGAGAGAGAGAGAGAGAAAGAGAGAGAGAGAGCAAGCGGGATAGTTGGAGCGAGATAGCGGAATAGTCGGCCGAGACAGTAGGATAGCGGGATAGCGAGATAATAGGAAAGACGGATAGCGGGAGCGGCACATGGCAGAGAGAGAGAGAGAGAGAGAGAGAGAGAGAGAACTGGAGCGAGATAGCGGGGCGGGATAATAGGAGTGACACACGGCAAAGAGAGAGTGGGTGAGGGAGAGAGAGAGAGAGAGAGAGAGAGAGAGAGGGAGGGAGAAACAGCGAGAGGGAGAGGAAAAAAAAAAAAAGTTCGCAGGAGTGGCGAGCATAAGGATTTCAGAGATGGTGACGTGGCAAAGGAGGAGATGGAGATTGGAAATTGGAAGCAAACTGCCCTGCCTATGGGTCTGGGTATTATGCAAAGTTGTCCACCTGGTATGGAGGGCAAACTGGGTAAAACAGGATGCATGCCCAAGCTTTAACGATGCGGCCCATATCTTGAAAACCATAGTGTCAATTTTAGTTTCAAGTTATTTGTTATTTTATCAATTGTTGGTTTATTGACCATGTTCTCTAGAACCAACAGATACCGGTGGGATCTTTCCCGCCTGTCACTTTTCGTCTCCAATCAGCTCTGACAGTACATAAAAGAAAAAAGGAAAAACCACGGTGAAGTCAAGGTTTTCAATTTTACATACGTTTCAATCACGGTTTCACAAATTTTGTTATACAGCGAGGAAAATCGTAAATGTATCCAACCCAACTCTAGGGTTGGGTGGGGATGTGTTGTATTTGAGGGATGCCAGAAGTGAATTTAGAAAAAAAAACATGATTGTGCCGTAGTTACCAAAAAATAAAATAAAAAAATAAAAAAATGTGAAACTAATAGAAACCCGAGTATAAAATTTGATAGTATACAGGCATCATTTGACAGACTATACTCCTCCCTAAGTTGGGTGGTTTAGTCATCAGCCAGTTGGAACAAGTAAAATGAGGTTAAAATTTCAAAGTATAAAATTGAAGGTAACTCGTGCATGTTAAACATGTTTCTAAGTCAGGTGGCTCAGTTCAACGTTCATAATATAATAACATAATAAATAGAAAGTTAGTATAAATCATTTATTGAACATGATTAAGGCAAATGTTATGCATGCCCCTAAATTTGGTGGTCTAGCTATTTCTCATGGAAGAGAAAAATAAATTATAAATTTGCTTACCATCTAGGCAAGTTAGACACGTTGCTAAGTTGGGTGGTGTAATCTTATACGGTATGTAATTATTTAGGCAAACTGGACAAGTATCTAAGTCAGATGGTCTAGTTTTATGTCAAATGTAAAAAGGGGTAAAACGGTTAATAATTTGAGTGTCATTTTAAACTATATTAAATGTTAAAAGGAAATGTGGGTTTGTGGGGGATTTAATTTATGTTTGTTTATTATTTGGGCACTCGTTTGGGGTTTTGGGATATTTCTTTATAGCTTAGTTATTCATAAGTTCGTCGAGTGTTGAAACGATAAGGTGCAGTGATGTTAATGAGGGGAAGTTTGGGATGAGATAGGATGACCTTACTGCGAGTCTGAGCTAGTATTAGTGAATGATAAATTATCAAAGAGAGTATCGTGAGAGTTATCTTTAGATGTGGCTGACAAGTCAAGTGTCAGGAGTTAATCTTAAATTTAGTTGTGGTTTAATTTTCAAATTTGGCTTAGCAAAATTTTGGGAGTTCACATTCTTAGAGAAAGTGCTGCCAAAATTCTTACAAATTTTGTAAGCTCGTCAAATTTTATTGCAAATTTTTGACAATCCATCGTGGTTCAAGCAAATGCAGCCAAAATTTGTATCAATCTTGGGTACATACCAAATATAGGTGAAAACAAAGTTAAAGGAGAAGTTAGGTTATGATACAGACTGCATTTTCCGTTCATGTTCAATGCAACGATGATTATTTGGTTCTCGACTATGATGCATGTTATTTTTTCGACTGAAGGTTTTACTTGTTTTGGTCTGATCCATCAAGGATCATAATCTTCTGTTATCATTTTATAACAAGTCGGTTTGTGATGCAACTTTGTCTTCTATTGTACCTGAAACTGCAGCCTTAGCTCCGCGATTTTGCTATGTTTCCTTCGGGTTTCACCCGATTTGTTTTAATAGTCATTTTAAAGGATTTAATATTTTTTTATGAAAGGGGGAACAAGGGCTAGGGTTTGTGTGTTTTAAGGCAGGGTGTAAGACTATAAGTCACAAGGAATTAAAAGTTGACCACATTAGTGTGTGGCATATGGCTGTTGAAATAACGCGGATGCAGGTATGCATGGAGGCATTCAATTTGTGTTTTTGCTAATGAAAATGTCGAGGGACAAACTACACTAGTGACAACGAGAGTGACGATTTGATGTCAGACAACCTTTTTTGTCTTAATGATTCTCTAATTTTATTCACTTCGCAGTAGTAATTCAGAGCACTGAGGGAGGTTCCCTAAGGATTGAATCAATAGTGACCCAGACCTGCAATAAAAGTTATACGGTGTCGTGCTTCAGATGAATGTTTGAGGAGGGGTAAGACATCTATAAGATCTGGTTGTTTATTTTTATGGTTTGACGATTAAGTACGAGACTGCCAAAGTCGAAATGCCTTGACTACCTTACTAGAGGAGCTTTGGAAATACATGTTAACTCACAGAGTGAGGACAATCCTGTCGCTACCGTTTGTCGCGACGGTTGAATAACTTGGTTTTCAATTGTTCAATGCCACAAAGAAAGTTTATGTCGTAACATCTCGTTTCCTACACTCATGTGTTGTGCGCAACCCCTGAACTCATAAAGGGTCACACAATTATGTGCATCGCGTAAGGAGTGGTCATAGTTCTGGATCACGTAACCATACATGACTAATCTTTATGGCCTCGTTTGCACATATTCTGCTGATATGATTCCGTGTGAGTCATAGCTTTTCGCTCTCGCGCGGTATAAGTTATCGGTTTGGGGAAGTTAGAAAGAGACTAGGCATGTCGTTCGCGCTTTGTTTTATTTTATAAGTAAGTCGCGTGGCTAAATGGATGTCCTAATCAATCGGCATGAAGTCGTGCTACGGAAATCAACGCCCTCAATATCGGTTCAGATGCGGGTTTGATTCATTTGTAAGTGTGCGTACCCCCTATTCTACAGTGCATGAGAAATGTCCTCGGTTTCTCCACCGCTATGACTACGTGTAAAAACTATCGCATGCGGACCAGTAGCTCGAAGGGGATACGCCCATCCAAGGATGGTGACAACTCTCACAGTAGAGGTAAGTTATACCTCGCAAGTCCTATCCTATCGTAGGAACTCGTGAGAGATAGAGCTGGCGCACTCGACCGGAGCGACACTGTTCCTAAATTCTCATCGCCCTGAATGCCAAAATCCTACATGACGCAACCAGGAGGGTTCCTGTGCAGGACCGATGTGTTTGACATTGGTTATCGACATGTGATGCTCCCAGAGGAAAAAACTAACAATAAAAAAATAACGATGAACGAGTACGATTAACATATCCTGGTAGGAATCCAAGTGCCCTTCATGATGGACTTTGGACTCGAGCACGAAGTAGTAAATTTCATTAATGTTGTCCCCCCATTTATGGCAAAGAGGGATGACTTCCTAATGCTGACCCTAAGCTCTTGAGTGGCCCAGGCGGTGATAAGAGCACCCCCGCGGTTGGCGGTTGCCATTGAGTAACTCCAATATATTCGTGAGAATCCATTAGATCACTCCAATGAGTCCAGTATATCCGTGGGGAGCTTCGCGTGCTGAAAATCAGGCCCAACGACGCTGTGATAAAGTATACTATGTTGATATGATGATAAGTGCAAGACAACATTGTTTGTCCTTATAGGATGAGACTACCCGCCTTGCTGAAGCCATATGTAGACCATCCTAAGCCCTTGACTATCCAATAGAAAACCATTCACAATGAATGACATGATTGATTATAAAGTGGGAAAAAATGACTACCTGGTACATATAACCCACAAATAAAGATCATGGTGCTACAAATGGAGGGCACTATGGCTCGTTGAGCGCTGCTGGCAGACAAATGAAACATCGGGTCCATGCCGCCACGTTTTTATCATAATATACTTTAATAGTCGCGTCCGAGTAAAATCTGTGTCATATTATATACTCTCCATGCTTTGCTTTCTCTTCAAGTTCTTCCTCGACTGCTCCTCTTTTCCCTTGTCTTTCTTCGTTTTTTTTTCATACTACAACAGAAAAATTTCCACGAGAAATTAAATGAAAGTTGAAAAAACATTCCATAAGAAAAAAATCCTTCATATTTATAAATTATCATTCCAATGTTCATCCAGTTTTAAAATTTTCAGTTTGATTTGATAAGTTCCCTTCTAAATATACATTTTCCCTTCCAACTACTTCTATTTGTTCAAGATGGAATGAAAGTCTGAACGA